ACAAGTGAATGCAGGCGATGCTTTACTACCATTAACCTCGCCCATTCTCAAACTGCCACATGTACAGTGATGCGGGGGATGCTTCACTATCATACAGCCTCGGCCGCGCCGATTCTCAGGCCACAGCAGCAGTGAAATAGGGTGTGGGGTTTTCTAACGTGCACCCTAGTTTGACGTTTCTCAGGGCAACCTGCACAGTTCGGTTACAATATCTCAACATACCTGAGGTACATGTATTGCAAGGCTACTATGCTCATTGTGAGTTTTCACAAATACAGATGGCTTGATATATATAATATATATATATATATATATCATATATATATATATATATAACTGTGCATGTATGCCAACAAGCATAGTATTCCGTGCTTGAGGGCTAAACGCGATATTCTTGTGCGAATCGTAGCCTCGGGACATAATTTTAAATAAATGACGGCGATTTCAAAAAGCTAGGAAGCAGGAACTTATATTAATTGGGCGAATTTTATGTGTTATCTAAATTATATTTCAAGGGTTTTATTATATCATGTGTTGTAATTTATGAGTTATAAGTAAAATGAAATAGACTCCGTACGTGAAGGATTTTGGTAGGTTAGAACCGTAGCTGGGCATGATTAATTAATTTCTTTAAGTTTAACAAAAAGATATTCAGTCGCGAGTAGGCGCTTCACCCGGATCACAGGAAGGGCACGTCGCGTTCGCCATTGATATTTGTTCAGTGAATTAGACCAGATAATATTATTATTAAACAGTTACAACATTTGGGAAGTATTAGGAACTTTATTCGCTAGTGGAATTTGCTGCGATCCAGAGGACGCCACGAGAACCTCACCCGAACGATATCCTGGAAGAAGACATCCTGAAGACATCATCGAAGATGCCTTCGAAAGCTTACGAACTTTTTTCAGAAAGAAATATCGAACGGAACTGTGAATTTATAGGTTTCTGACAATTAATGAGCTCAAGTTTAAAGATTGTAATTTCATTAGAATAAATATTGAAGTTTTATTGTCAACACCAATTAAAAGAATGATAATTTGTAGCAGTAGTGCCATCAATTTTCCAACAACAGGTTTAAACAGCAGAACTTCCAGAAATCGCATTTCTGTGCAGAGTTGCAGGTTGAGAGTAAATTAAAAAGGTAATGCATTGTTGTCCGTAATTATTGAAGAATGTCGAGCTAATGAACAATGCAGATCAAATTATTATTTTAAAGCAATAAATATATTTATAAATGTAAAAACAATCTGGCAACGAAAATGATAAAATTGAACGATTAATAAAAGTGAAAGAAACTTAATGTACCCCAATAATAAATAATTAAGTAGAAAGAGAGTATATTTCAAATGTAATCCTTTCCTGTCTTATTCATGAATATAACAAATACCAGGGTGACGCCGACTAATCAAATTGTAGTAAATAAATAAAAATGTATAAAAACATAATAAAAAGACGCCCCTATTCAATTCAATGAAATTGTATCCAACTTCCCTTGGTAACGCCTCTTCTTTCGAAGAGTGGAATGGCGAAATGCCAGCGTCTGCATACTTTGTTCTCTATGAAATTATGAAGCTTTCTTTTGCAGAATTCGAAACAACAGTAATAAAAATTCTTTACTGACTTTTAAATAGTTATTTCATTTGATATTTGCCAGTTCGTATAAATTGTAGTTCTGCTTCTGTGAACAGACTCCACGTTACACCCCTGATCTCACATTTTATTGTACAATTGCGAAAGGAATACAAGAGCCAAAGATGCCCTACTTTTCGATATTTCTCCTGCCTGCTCCCAAATGGGTGCAGCTCCAGTGGTTGCGTAGCGGGGCTTCGGAAGGTGTTCGAAACCATAAAGCGTCGCAGGGCGCGGATGCGGTGCACACTGGGCCAAAATCTAGGAGGCCCCAGAGGAGGGTCGTGGCCACGGGCAGAACTTTCAAAATGCAGCGGAATAAACGAACTCGTCTAGTAATATACTTAACATCTGCTTAAAATGCTAAATCTTTTGTGTATATCATCTAATTGTTTAAAGCCGAGCTTAAATTGAAACTATTTCCCGTACAACTGTGGATTTAATAAAAATATTAATTAAAATACCAAATAGATATTTATTCTCAAACTATCTGAAAATTAAAATAAACAAATAATTGACAGTAATGTATACATTAAGCAGTTATTACCATAAATAAATTCATTCTAAATATGTTTCCTATAATTTTTAAAATATTATCTTAAATATTTTCTAAATCCCTTCTGTCGCAAAGGGTCATAGATTCAAGTGACAGAAAAATCAATTAACTAAAATCATTTAAATTATATTTATCGTAATAAAAAATGAAATACAATTAATTCCTTGTTAAACTTGTAACTTATTGTGCAGAGATAGGCTATACTAGAGGGAATTTTCTGGTTCCTGATCGTGCGAAATGATACTTAAATATCACAGAAAAAAAAATTGTTGCGATTGTGAAAATGGGTAAAAAAGCACTTTTTCAGCGTATGTTTTTGACTGTTCAAGTTGACGTATGAAATACAGTAAACGTTGATACAGCTGCACCCATGTGACAAATTTTTCAAGCACGCTTGTGCTATTTTACCAGCGAAAATAACTTCAAAAATCTTATATATTTTACTACAAAATAATTAGTGCCAAATTATGAGTTTTGCTGCTGTTGCAGCAAGTGTACGCATAATGTCTTTTATGCCCACTGCGTGTTCTTAGCGGTTGTTAAGCGATCGCCGGGGCTGAACGCAGTTCCGAACGGAGCTGCCAATAACAGCGGAACACGGCCCAATTACAGGCGGCGGGGGCGGCAGCGCCTCCAGGCGGGTATATAGCACGCGCGTGCGCTTCTGCCAGCAGTTCGCTCCTGCTCGAACCGCCCCGCTTCGCTCTTCAGACCCCGCTTCGCACCGCTCGCACCCTTCGCCATGGCTCGCACTCTCCAGGTAACGCGACGGCGCTCGCGCAGCGGGAGAGGCGGGTTTTGGGGGTTGGTTTAATGATGTGTTTTAAAATTACGAGTA